AAAGGTACGTTCAGTATTAGATATGCTAACTTTTTGAATTATGTTAGTAAAAGTAGGTAAATTGAAGGTGAGTGGATATTTGCATATCTTTAGTATAAAGCTTTACCTTATCAAATAAATTTTCTGACTAGGTTATTTAAACTCCTAAACGATATAAGCAGGCCAATCTTGGTATTATATAAAGCAGCACGATTTATAAACAAAACAAACTAGATACATAATCGCAGTCTGCCAAAACTGTCCAGATTTGGAAGATATAAACAATACTGATCTTTTGAAGGGGATAAGCTATTTTGAAAGAGCAGTAAGGAGGTGAATAAAAGAGATGAAACTACTTTGTTTTGTTTAATAAAAGAGTGTGTATTTTTTTTACTTAACACACTGAATCTATAAGAAGACACAAGTACTCTCCTTATTTTTTCGATAAGTGATAAACTCTGGGCTTGTCGGCAAATAGCATATGAGAACTATTTCTAAATGACAAGTGCTGATCTCACAGTGAGTGATAAACTCTAAAAAAGTTAGCAGGTAGTGTATGAGAACTACCTCTAAATAATAACTGCCAAGTTATGGAGCTTAAGAACTATTTTCTAAACTGTTTCTACCTTTACAGACACTTGTATTTTTTAAAAAATTTTAGATTTTTGTAGTAAAAGTAATTATCAAGAAGAGTTGTATGTATGTTTTATGTTTTATATTTTTGTTAAATATTCTTTTTTATTTTCTCATTTTATATTATATATCTTTGTTTTAGTTTTTGTTTAATTATTATTTTTTAGGTTTGATTTTTATATATACATTTCATATTTTCTGCATATTAAGTCAAGTAGTACCAAAATTTTCTATATTATACTATAAAGAATTCAAAACTTAAAAAAATATACTGTATTAGGTTTAGGTTGCAGATAAATTAATCTGAGCTTTTATTCTTGCATGTAGTTTATATTTATTCATTTATATATGAATTAAGTCTTGTTTCTTTATGATTACTTATATAAATTACTCAATAAAGATATGAGCAAGGCCTCACCTTTTAAAAAAAATATATATATATATACTGTATAATTAACTCTTTTTAAATATATAACCAAGATTTATTATTTAAAAAAGTATTGCATTTAGGAAAATAAAAATCTATAAGTATTATATAAGTTGGAACAGAGTAGAGCCATGTATTTAGAAAGATTTTTTCTAAATATTTAAAAAAGTTACATTTAGAGAGGTCTGACTATACTTTTTAATATATTAAAATTATACTGCCTATAACACTTTAAAGTATTATTAAAGATTATTTCAAAAAGAACACATTGATTGCTCAACAGTTAATTGCTTTTTTAGATAAATAAAATAAACTTTGAGAGCTTTTGACAGCTCGCGAGTGACGTATTATATCAATATCCAATGTATGGTACGTACAGCTGATTTGTAGATTCTGTAAATCACATGATATCGTAGGCATAGCAATAACGATAACCAGGCACGCACTTAACAAATTACATTTTGTTTTAAAAAATGAAAATTTCGGAGGTAAAAAGTACAACGCGCGAGCAGCGTATTACTCCTCATACGCATATAAAAGGACTCGGACTAAATGAAGAAGGGAGATCTTTTCAAGTCGCGGACGGATTCGTTGGACAAACGTCCGCAAGAGAGGTGCTACTCGGTTAACGCACTAATAGTAATTTCATTTTCCTGCTAAATTTTTTTTTTCTAATTTTTAGGCCTGTGGAATTATTGTCGATATGATTAAATCCAAAAAAATGGCCGGTCGCGCGTTACTTTTAGCTGGCGCACCCGGAACTGGTAAAACCGCTATTGCTCTCGCGATAGCTCAAGAACTTGGTTCAAAGGTCCCTTTTTGTCCGATGGTTGGTAGTGAGGTTTATTCCTCTGAAGTTAAGAAAACTGAAGTATTAATGGAAAATTTTCGAAGAGCAATAGGTAATTTATGTCGTGCATACTAGGATGGATAGATTTCAATTGACCCCATTATAACTCGGAATTGATCTAGGTTTGAGAATTAAGGAGACCAAGGAAGTATACGAGGGAGAAGTAACTGAACTTTCTCCTGAAGAGATAGAAAATCCTTTGGGTGGTTATGGGAAAACTTTATCACAAGTGATTATTGGATTAAAAACCGTTAAAGGAACAAAACAATTGAAACTAGATCCAAGTATTTATGAAAGCATACAAAAGGAGAGAGTTACTGTTGGAGATGTCATATATATTGAAGCAAACACTGGTGCTGTAAAGGTACACATATCATCTAGCATAATTTATTAATGTTTTCCGTCCTAATTGATGTACTTACAATGACTTACGATGTAATATTTATAACTAGCGGGTCGGCAGATCCGACGCTTATGCTACGGAATTTGATCTAGAAGCTGAAGAATATGTGCCTCTACCAAAAGGAGAAGTCCATAAAAAGAAAGAAGTTGTTCAAGATGTTACATTAAATGACTTAGATATTGCGAATGCAAGACCTCAGGCAAGTTTCTACCTTATTTTTAATTATATTGTATACATAATTTTCATTTTGAAATCTTATTTTACTTCAGGGTGGTCAAGACATAATGTCAATGATGGGCCAGTTATTAAAACCAAAAAAGACCGAAATCACGGACAAGTTACGAAAAGAAATTAACAAAGTGGTTAATAAGTATATAGATCAGGGTATTGCCGAATTAGTTCCAGGAGTTTTATTTATTGATGAGGTTATTATTGTACGATTTCAACGAATATGCATTTCTTTGTTTATAGCTTCTTATTCAACTTTCGTTTTTTTCCAAAGGTACATTTACTAGATATTGAATGTTTTACGTATCTCAACAAAGCTCTGGAATCTACTTTGTCTCCAATAGTAATATTTGCTACAAATAGAGGAATGTGTCAAGTGAGGTAATGTAAGAATACTTTCTACCGATATTTTTGCTGATTTACACTAATGTAGTTTTTTTTTTTTTTTAGAGGAACAGAAGATATTGTTGCTCCTCATGGAATCCCTGTCGACTTGCTTGATAGAATTTTAATTATTCGTACATTACCTTATACATTGGAAGATATCAGAGCAATAGTACAGATTCGTGCAAAAACTGAGGGACTAACGTTATCAGAAGATGCTTTAAATCATTTGGCTGAATCTGGTGTTAGGACATCGTTGCGGTATGTTGTTATTTTTGACATTATTTCATACCCAAATTTATTATTAATAAACAATAAATTTTGTCTTTCATAGCTATGTCATTCAACTCCTTACGCCTGCAAGTGTTCTTGCACGTATAAATGGTCGCGAAAACATTACTTTAGAAGATATAAAGGAAGTCGATGATTTGTTTTACGATGCTAAATCGTCTGCAAAAGTTCTTGCCGAATATCAAGGTTTGTGCATGTTTAATAAATGTATTTAGTTATTCATCAGATTGTGATCAGCAAACTGAGCTGTCTGTCAAAAAAATTTTGACGGATTTAAGTTACTGTCACAATACGAATAATAATGGTGTGGTCTTTCTGGCAATTGAGATCTGCTGTGATAGATACTTTTCATTTTTTTTTTCAATTTGATGAAAGTTCTGAACAGCAAATTTTAATGGTCCGAAAGATAATATGTTTTATTGGGGCTTTTTTCTTAAATACTAACTGCTGTTAATAACTTTTAATAGCGCAATATGTTCCTTGATCATCTGGATGTATTAATAAATTGTAATTGATTTTTTTGTTTACATAATAGCAATTGTATTAGTTTAAATGCTAGTTTTAATACAATGTAAATATGTGTTATTTGTATTCAAATAATAATAGAAAATAAATATTAATTAATATATAAAAAATTATACAGTAAATTAAAGAGAAAATTATGTCTAAAATTAGGTTATAAAATAAAGATAATATTTTTTGCTAAATAATTTTGGTTTTACTATTTTGCACTATAGATGTTTAACATTATAAGTTTTTATTTCTCAATAACGTACTAAGTAATTTGAATTAAAAATACTAAAAAAATCTTGTGTAATTTAAATTTTAAACTATTATATATAACTTTTTTATACCAACTCTTTCCGACAATCACTTGAACCATATTTTCTAAAAAAGATTTTACTGCAAGAAAAAACCTTACAAGCTGGCACTTGATCTAAAAATCTAGACAGTAAGACAGCACCTGTTGTTTAGAAGTAGTTCTCATATGCTACTTGCCAACAGGCTTAGAGTTTATCACTCACTACACAGTCTCGGCACTTGTCATTTAGAGGTAGTTCTCATACACTACCTGCCAACAAGCCTAGAGTTTATTACTCACCGGAAAAAAGGTTGAGCAGGTGTTGGGCAGTGGGTCTTAACTATAGAAAAGAAAACTCACACTCCTTTAAATTGGTTTGAAGCTCAAGTGGTCCCTCTTTACCTCTAGTTGTTTTTCCGTTGGTCTCTAAAAATTTTTTCATAAAAAGTGGGGGATTTGGCTTACCCTCTCCAAAAGATCAGCATTGTTCACTTACCAAATCCGGATGAACCGGTAGATAGCAACCACATGTTTGGAGACGAATATATTGTATGGGCTCTAGAACGAGTCCCGGTCAAAAAAAAGAATTCCTAGTGGCGGCACCAAGTGGCTTGAGATATGAGTACCTGAGTAATGGCGCCTTTACGGAAATGTCGTGTCCTTGTCGTCGTTGGTGCCGTATATGGAGAGTCGGATTCTAGTACTGCGGCAGCACTTGGTTTGAGATACGGTCTAGGTTATTAAAAAGATTCGGAATTGGGTCGGAGAGAATTTTAAAGTTAAGCTTAGACTTACAACAGAGATATACAGATGTTGTATCTGGTATATAATTTTTAAATCATCTGGTACGGGTTATAATAGTGTATTCAGATCGCTTAATTTTGTCTTTTTTCTGCTTGTTTCATCTATTTTCATTTATATTAGAA